AGGATGGGAGTGGACCGCCAGTGGAGAAAAAAGGAAAGAAAATCCTGAAATACACAGGAAATACGAGCATTTTGCTCTATGCTGTGGAGAAGTTCAAAAGCAGGCAGGGAGATGAGAGATAATGTGAGCGCGGAGAGCGGTAGAGAAGTCCGAGAAGAGAGAGCATAGCAGATCAACGCAGCGACGCAGACAAGATATCGAACGGTGGGCGGACCATGTTAAGTTTGGTGGAGTCTGTTAGAAGTCCATGGCGCCTAGGGTCCTAGTGACGCGTTTCGATGTAGAAAGGTGGCGCTACCTTTGCACTTGCGTACCCAGCACTTCTAGCCATGGTAAGGGCTTCTTAGGTGGGTCTGAGCCCGAACTTTGCCTTTAAGCAAAACCATTGTTTTCTGCTCAGAAGTACGGAATTTTCTTCTTCTTGGCTTATTCAATGAGCTTGCAGCGCTCCCACGCGACCACCAAACTTTGAACCTGCGCGTTTTAAAGTGCTAAAGTTCTATATACTCACAAGGACTTGAAGGTGGGAGTAATGTTGTTTCAAGTAATAAATTGAGAATTATATCTTTCAATTGCTTAGCTTGAAAATTTTCAGAAGAAAAAAATGATCCTTACAGGCGCAAACGCATGAGGTGAAACCACAACTCGCACAGACAGTCGTCGCCATTCGAATTGATGACGTCAATGACTGTGCACCAATCTTCGTCGGACTTCCCTACGATGTCGTCGTTAGCTCCGATTCCGCCGTCGGGGAGAAAATTCTCGCCGTGAAAGCCGTCGATAAGGACATCGGTTCGTGCGTTAATTTTGCTAAACTTTCCTGAAAGAGTAATGGCGGCGTAGCTTTATAGAGTTTCCTATTGGTCCTACTCTCTTCTTTTTTCCCTAGTTATCCTTTTGAAGTTTCGGTAGAGAGATTTCTAATTTAAAACTTCTTGTGTCGTTTGGTGGCCAGTCCTCTACCCCTAAAGGACATCTCTTCGCATTTGTTACTGCAACATGCATATTAGCCCGTGAGTGTTACACAATGAGAAGTTCGGTGGGAGCAGGATTCCGAAATAGGACCGTACAAGAAAAGGTAGATGAGAAAAAATGAAATCGCGTGTTTTCTAGGATTATGAAACGGAATTGTGCGGTTCACCACAGTGCCTCGCTTCCGTCTGTTTTCAAACTAAACAAGCACGATGGAAGGATCACGATCAGTGGGAAAGTTGGATGATGCAAAAGTGTACCGCTTTGAAGTCATAGCAACTGATCAAGGTAATTTCGAGTCTCAATCTTTTTCTGGTTTTCACGCTTTGCTTCAGCCTAGGTTTCCCATCCAGTGCTTTTGAAAGCCGTTCATAAATAAAATTCGGGAGTAGGAAGAATGGGTGCATACATACCACAGGGCCATCGCTCGAACGATTAGCTGTGCTTGCTTCAAAGTACTCTTCGGCTGTGCTACGCCGCGCTTATTCTTTCTACTTTATGAGCATCGTGAAGTAGCTGATTTACCTTTAATTTTGTGAGCCAGTGTAGCCCAACGAGTACTTTGATTTATAAATGATCAATTAATTCGATCCAATATCTGTAGAACAGTATTAAAACTGAAACCATCGTGTTTAGAAAATAGGGATTGCGATTTATATGCTATCAAATTCATCGGTTGCAGGGGGAGCCACCCATTGAAAACAGTACAAGAGGTACGCGTCGACGTCGTAGAGAAAGCCAGACCTATCTTCACTAAAAAACGGTACCAAGCCACAATTTCGGAGGCAGCACCTAAGAAAACTGTGGTAAGCTCTCTCTGAACTTAATTAATTGATGGACTTCCCCTTATAAGAAGTTCATGATGGATTCAGGTTACTAAAGTGAAAGCTGCGAGCAGTGTTGGAGGTCATCTGATTTACCGATTAGAATGAGGATTGTATGAAAATCTGTTTCCATTGTATATTGGTTTACTGTAGGATCATTCGATTTTTTCGTCTCTTGTCTTTCAAACTTTTACGTAAAACGCATAGTTCCATAAAATAAGTTGAGCACTCCTGGATGGAGTCAACCACCTCGTGTAAACAATTTCCAAAAATTTAGCGAACCCTTTCTTTTAGGGGAATCGACACGACCCCTCATCACCAACCATCAGCCTGAGAGATTTTCTAATACGACGACTCCCCTACCTTGACGACACCTTCACCATCATGACTGTTTCTATAGTACTCGACAGTGAGGCGAGTGAGGCCAGTTTACGCAACCCAACTCCTTACTTCTTTCGAATCTGTATCAAAATCGTCAGAAAACCCGGCAGGATGATACCCTCACTCGCAAGCATGACCTCTTTCCAATCTTTCGACCTTCAGCAACCTCCTAATACGACCCCTCCCGCCGACATCTGCAAAACTCTAATTCGACCCACCTCGTTGAGATTGTGCAACGCACTGTTGATCCCGCTCTTGGAATACAAGGCATTTTGCACTGGTGTTGTCGGTTGAGCGCTCATTGAGTTGCCTCCGGATTCAAACTCCTGAGCAAAACTTCATACCAGCCCTTTTGAATGAAAGGCTGTGCAAGTTCACTAATCAACGAGCTGATGACTTTTATAATAGTTCATTGATTTAGGTGTGATCAGTGTCAACGGAGAGTTGGATGCCGAAGAACGTGCTGCGTACAATTTATCCGTGATGGCGAGAGATGTTACACGAAATGCCCTGAATTCAACTGCCGTTGTGAACGTTGAGGTCTGTTGCTTCACGATTTAGTACTTCTTCCACGAGAAAAGTTCATCTAAAAAATGAATAATTCTATTGGATTTGATAAAATAAAGATAAAGCATTCGGCGTTGAACAATCTCGTCTTGGAATGCGCCACGCATTTATCTTCCATTCAGAATTGTAGTGGGAATCTGAATGCGATTTGATCCGATACAATGACTCATGCTTTCTAACCTCCCATACAAGTTGGGTACCAATTAATTGATTCCTTGGAGCTGGAAGGCTTGGTTGGCCCGGGCGACTCACGACCCAGGATTTGATCCCGGACCGCTCGCGTGGTAAGCGGTGCCACTGGCAGCTACACCACTTCCGCCTTGTGGGAAGGGAAGGGCTGAAATTGTGAAATTTGTTTGAAAATTCGTTCAGTGCTCTTCCCAATTCTACCTATTTTTTTCTTCAATTTGGCTTTGTTCTGGAACATAATTTGAATGGTTACCTGATTGGAGAGTGAAAATCCTTCAGCTATCGTCGGTAGTACGATGGAATGTGAAGTGAAGGTAATTTTGGAAAGTTTAGCTCACTGGCGTCAATGACAATGGACCTCGATTCGAGCACCTCGTCTATCGTGTGAATGTGTCGGAATCGACTCCTGTAGACACGAAACTGTTAACCGTGAAGGCTGTGGATCCAGATGGTGGCAATGGGTTGATCAGTTATGCTGTCAGTGGGAAAGACTCTTCCAGTGAGTTTTTTCCCGTGTGTTCTCTAGGGGAGGGAGAAGATTTGGAGCTTGCTTTTGAACGATTTGATGGTCTCGTCCTAGTCGCTCTCAAACCATAAATCCTTCCTTGTCTTTATAATCTGTGAGCTGTTATCCGATTTTCTTAAAAAGTATGTTTTCATTGCTTCTAATGGCAATCGTTCTGCAATTTAATGTATAGTCACCTTGGTCGGTCCATTGCCAGGAAGGAGTTGAATGTACGGCTCTTTAACTAGGACATGGGCATCACTGATCTTCCGATCACGTCCTTTATTTTGATCTCCTGTGCTATTCTATTTACATAATATTTTACTTATTTTTGAGTTTTTCCAGTTGTTCACATGGATCCGGCGACGGGAATCCTCAGCCTCGCTCAACTGTTAGACTTTGAAAAGCGGCAACGTTATGAAATGTCTCTTGTAGCGGCAGACGATTTCACAACTGGCTGGAGAGAGTCAAGCTAGTTCTCACGGTTTGTGTTTTTGATCCGGAAAAGGGTGGTCTTGTCTGAAGTTACTGTGAATTCTACTTAATTCGCTATTGCGTTCAGGTGGAAGACGTGAATGATGAGCCACCACGATTTTCTACACCATTCGCAGCTGCGACGGTAGCCGACACAGCACGGCTGGCCAGTTTATTGCCATTATGAGCGTCACGGATGATGTAAGCATTTTCGAACATTGTTCCTTTTGAGCGAGGCGGGTCGCGCTGCGCGATCTCTGCTTTCAAGATGAAAATCGCTATGATCCTGGAGTTCCTCCTCTCCTGCCAGAAGCTTAGTTTCTATTTCGATTAGCGTAGAGAAATGCTTACGCAGAAAAAACGCAGAGATCGCGCGCGGCGACTGGCCCCCCTCGAGCACATTGCGCCGTCTTTTCAAACATTGTTCCTGATTTTGGTTTTACCTCATATTTTTATGTGTTTTTTTTATTTTGGTTTGCCTTATATTTTTCTGTTATTATACTTTTGAGATTAATTAATTGTAATGTATATTCATGGTTTCATTGGCATTTTTCAAAGTTTTTATTAGATGGCGCTATGATTTCAGGATACTGTATCGTCGATCAAAGGTGGTCATCGTCTGTTGTACTCGATCATCGAAGGTGACGAGACACTGTTTTCGGTAGCGGAACATAGCGGAGAGGTGACGTTGCTGCGGTCTATTGACTCAGATGATGCGCAGAACGACGGAGTGGCAAAAAGTCTTGAATGTGTCGGTGTCGGATGGACTGTTCACCGCTTATGGACAGCTCACGGTCTCAATAGCCGTGTCAGGACGTCGCCAAGCCCCGCCACGATTTGAACAGAGCCAATATGTGATTGATGTTCGCGAGAATAAGTAAGAAGGTTTTGGGTTGCTGTTAGTTGCTCATAAATTGCAAACTGCTCGTTTCAGCATTCTGACGAACAAGACTTCGATCCTAACAGTGCAAGGCCGTGACGGTGTGCCCCCACTGCACTACTCAATAGGTAGTGGAGATAATCGTCAAAGACCGCTACGGATCGAAAAGCTCACTGGACGGGTTCATCCGAAAATTGTTTTCAATTACCATCACCAACATATGTACAAGTGCGTATTGTTTACTCGTTTTTACTTTGTTCTTGCTTCAACTGTTTATTTATTTTCTCGCTTCTCTATTGTTTTTAACTTAGCTGTTCTAAAGATCTGCGTCTATTCCAGGGTCCCGCTGGTCGTAGAAGACGCGTTGGGTCGAAAAGCATTCAGCACCCTGACGGTGAATGTCGTGGACGCAAACGATAGTGCACCGGTGTTCGTCGTGGGAAAGTAGGTTTACGTGTTTTGAAAAATGCCTCGAGGCGCATTTTATGGAGTTTGCCGCAAGGCAAGAGCGTTACTAGCGCTTCAGCTGCGTCTGAGATTGATTATATACGGATGGCCACTTTCCCCATTTAAGGTCGCTAAAATTCCTGCCAAACTAGTTGGAACGATTAGCAGTACTGAAGACTGACACTAACAATTTTGATGTACATGTGTAGACATCGATTGACCCTCCTCTAGCACTAAATGTACAGTGTAAATTATCCGTTGTGTTAGAAATAGTGGGGAAACGAGAGAGGATGGTTTGCTGAAGTGGCGTCATATTTGTGAAAGAAATGTGAGCAAGTTTCCGGGAAATGAAGGAAAGTTGCAGAAGTTGGAGGGTTTATTGAGAGTTTCCTGAGAGTTAAAGAATTCCATGAATTCCGTCCTCTGAATTCTGTCTTAGCGGTTATATTCACTTTTACCCCTTCCCTAGCTCGACGCTATTTTCGGAGGTGTAGTTCTTACACGTAGCATTTCCAAACAACTATATGTTTCTCCCTTTGGAGGTGTCTTTGTTTTCCAGTTAGGAAAGTGTCGCCAGATTAAGCAACTTGGCGAATTTGCCGAGTTGAAGAGTCAAATGCGTTGCGCATACTCCGCAATACTCAGGGGTGTGTGCTGATAGATTGTCCATATTCGTGGCGCTTGCAGGTAATGCATTGGTTGCGGTGGCGCGCATGGTGCAACTGTGAGCTGGATTCTATCTCGCAGATAGTGTCAGATACTAGATCAGGTATGTAGTTTTTGTGCAGATGTACACCATCTGTGTCCGGCGACTGCTCGCGAAGGTGAAACCCTTCTGATGGTGTCGGCGACTGATGATGACGTTGATGACACTGTAGAGTACACCCTGATGGGAGACGATCCAATGACGCAGTCATTTCGACTACACCCACGTCACGGCACCTTGTCGATCGTGAAACCGTTGGATTCTCTAGGTAGTGGTTTTCGCTCAAACTACGGGTTCAATTTTGAAACTGGAAGTTGTTGGATTAGTGGGTTTCGTGAGGTTGGTTGGGGTTTGTGGGGTTTTGTTGTTTGTTCGTTGTTGTGGTTGTGGTTGAGTTCTTGTTTTGTTTCATTTCATGATTTTTTCCCGAAAAAAGACGGAAACGTTTAATTGCTCAAAAAGTTGTCCATATACAATAGAAGTTTTGATAATTCCAGCTGGCTCCACAGTGAACCTCGTTGTACGCGCTACTGATCAAGCCAATCCGCCACATCACGCCAATGCTCAGGTAGGGCTCACTATTTCAGCTCAATGGTTGGAGCGTTATAGGTTGAAGAACCTCCCCTCCTTGGTACAAGTAAGACGTCGAGATTTCTGCTATAGATACTGAAAGCCGGAGTCAGCCGTCCATCGTTCGGATGAGGAGGGTTGCTTCTCGCAGGGTCTGGGGAAGGGGTCGTACTTGGCGAAACATTGTTGTATTTCTTGGAAGTTGCGAATTCTTCTGCAAAATTTGGAATAGTTTCGAAAATTTGGTCAATTTTTACCGTTTCAATAGTCGTACATAATGATAGTGGAGGGGATATGACGGTACTTCTTTATATCGCATCTTCCGTCTTCAATATCCTACCTCATTACTAAAGAAGTCCACTACTTTTTGTATCCTTTCTTCATCCTCGCCTCATCCTTTATTTACCTTCTTTTTAATTCATCTATAATCACGTTGGTCTTTTATTGATTTCTTCACTGTTTCATTGTAGTGTTTTTCAGGTCTCAATTTCGGTTTTGCCTGAAGAAGTCCCCATCCCAAAGTTCAGCAATAGTCACTACCTGTTCGTTATACCTGAAGATTCGGCTGTAGGAACTGTAATAGGAAAATTGCAACAAACTGAAGGTAGGAAGAGTTTGATTTTCTCTGAAATCCCATCGATCCATCAAGGTATTTCAATCAATTATCGATTAGTTGCAGAAGTGTCGGAAGTTCGCTTCTCTGTGGTAGATGCAGCGAAAGATTTTCCGTTCACAGTGGAACGTGCTACTGGTCAGCTGGTCATTAGTCGGCAGTTGGATAGAGAAACAAAGGAGGTGACCAGCTAATGATTACTATACTATCTTTTCTATTTTTCAGTTTTCAAAATAAATAAAAATATTGAAATCTATCAAAGCCCATGTTTTCAGGTGTGGCGTTTCGTAGCTCGCGCAGACGCGGCAGGTAGCGCGCATTCGATGACAACGGTAACGGTACGGCTGTCGGATGTTAACGATCATGCACCGATGTTTGTGGGAGCGTACGATCGATTATCGATTAGTGAGGATGCGCCAGTGGGAACTACTGTGGCGGTGTTCTCAGCTACAGACGCGGACAGGTCGCCAGGAGGAACAATTGCGTTCACTCTAGTGGAGGTTAGTGGTGATCGGCTGTTCTAGTTTGGAAAATTGGGAAATTCGGGCAATTTTTGGAAAATTGGAAAATTTGGAATTTTTGTCTTTGTTTTGAGATTTTTCTAGAAGAAGGTGATTGAACTTTTCAGAACGAAGATGACAGAGCGTTCAAAGTTGATGCTGAATCGGGATGGCTAACTGTTGCGTCACCACTCGATAGAGAACTCCAACCACTTCATGAACTTGTAGTACGTGCTACAGGATGAAGGAGGACTTTTCACTGATCATAAGTTCAAAATTGAGGTATTTTTCTATCAAATATTGGAGCAAGGCCACCTTCATTTTCAATTGTTTATTCATCGACTATTTCCAGATCCTTGATGTCAACGATGAGGCTCCTCAATTTGACGAGAATTTCTACATTGTCCATGTGGATTCCAGCGTTCTGACCATTGGCCAAATTATTGCCCGAGTTGTTGTAACGGTTTGTTTTATTCATATTGAAGCGGTTACTGTGAGGACATGCGCTATGGACCGGTCAGTTGCGGGCGGTTGCGTGTGGCGGCGCGCTTGGTTCGCTTGACCTAATTGTACCGGCTGTCCGCCAAGCAATGCATGCTGTTATTGTGACTTTTGCAAAACGTTAATTCCACCGCTTGTGGCGTGCGCGATAAATTGCGTGGCCGAAAGGGCTTGCGCAGCCTGATCGCGTCACGTCGCACGCGGTTGATGCGTCATGGCGGTGAAGGAAAAGGCGCCACGTTTCTACGGCCGCCATCGGCCTGCTGTTGCAGTAGCCGCAAGTTCATTAACAGCTAGGTGTTACAAGGGAATAACCCGATTTGCGATTCAGGACAAAGACCTTCCGCCGTTCAACCACACTCGCTTGTTCATCAGTCGAGGTAATGACGACGGCCTGTTCGCCATTGATGATTCTGGCAAAATCTCCATCGCCAGGCTGAATCAGTTGAGGCACAGTTATAACCTGACTCTTCTCGCCTTTGACGGAACCCACGCGACGACGGCGACTATGAATGTGAGCTCAGTTTTTCCGTTATCAAGATTAATCCAGTACTCCGGCTGTTTAGGTTACTCTCAACTCGGGAACGACTTCGGCATTCGAGTGTGATCCGGAGAAGAAGATAACGATTGAGGTGCCGGAAGACGTCACGCGAAACAAAGAGATCTATCGCGAGGAATCGCCCGTCACTCTGCCTAGGGAAACGTTACCTACTCATCTCATCTGAAGTACTGCCGTTTGCAATCGATCAGAACACTGGAGCGATATCGGTCAAGGGGGAACTGGATGCTGAGACTAGGAAGAAGGTTGGGTTATATAGTATTCAAGTATTTCTGATTAATTTTCGCAGAAGCGTATGCTAATGGTTATTTCGTTTTTCCATTGAGCAGTTTTCAGTACGTCTTCACCCGTCAGTTGGAATTGAAAAGTGTTTCAACATCGTGTAGTCAGCCTGTGGAAGTGAATGTCATCGATGTGAATGATGAGGCTCCTGTCTTTACAAAAGCCGGTATACACGTCTCGATCAAGAAAATGAACCAGCCAGCGAAAATGAGCGATATTTTGTCACCAGGGTTCATGCCGTTGACAAGGTGGGTTGTGATGGTCATTGTTTTCGCAGACTTTTTGAAGAAGGTTGGAAATCCCAGGCAGCTTTTCTCTTTTCCAGTGACAATAAATTTACGGGAGTTAGTAAATGGCCAAAGTTCGATGAAGTAAGGCTTGCATCGGACTTGTCTCGGCTATTTCTAGTTTACTCATGTGTATTTTGGACTTAAAGGAGGAATACACGATAAGAAGAAGGTCAAAGAAGGGAAATTGCATAGTTGGGAGACAGGCGGACCTCTGTGGGTTCTGACCGACGCGCAATTGGCAGCGAAAGATTTGACCCCTATTTTCAATGAGATAACTTTTCATCGTAAATTCTCTGCCTCTAATGGTTCGTAGTGACTACAAAATCTGTGACCATACGCGAGCGGCTGCGGAGAGTGCTGCATTCTAATTTGGAAATATCCATGTATTACTTGCACCCTAACGAGAGTATTGCCTGGCGCTTTACCAGAGTATCAAACGATTGGAATCGTCACCTCTCCTCCTCCCCAAGCCAGTGCTAGTTGTCCGTTTTGATTCCTTGGAAACCTCAACGAGCACGGTAGCATTGCAGGACTCCGGTGCATATGGCCGTGTACAGTACAGCTTGGTTTCCGATCACGGAGGAATATTCGTGATCGACCGAGATACGGGAGCGATTACGGTAACTCGTCCATTGGATCGTGAACAAACACATGAATATTTACTGCATGTAGTGGCTCAGGATTCAGATCCGGTCAAACCGAAAAGTAGTAAAGGTAATATTGATTGCTATTGTTCTACCATTATTTTTTATTTATTTAGTTCCTTCATTCAAAGAGTCAATTACAGCCATGGTTCTTGTGTCGGTACTCGATCAGAACGATAATCCGCCTGTGTTCGAGAGAAACGAGTATGTGCTGCAGGTGAGTGAATAGGAATCTGCCTTGTAGTGTAGCCATCCTTGATATTTTTGTATTAGTATTTTGAAAGTTTTCTTTTATTTTGACTAAGGTAAATTTGTTTCTCATGGATAATCCTAGGTGATGGAATCCGAATCTGTCGGGTATACATTGGTGACGGTACGAGCTGAAGGAGGAGACGCAGGAGAGACAGTCAGCTATAGGCTGGCCGAAAATGGAACGCACAATGACTATGTCAGCCTTGACAAGGAGAAAGGTAATCTTTTTGGCTCTTCTCCTAACCCAATGATCCTGTGGTAGTTCATCTACAATCAGTGGGTGGTGCGGAGTGCTTTATGCGGTCAATAAGTTAGAACACAGATTGAACAAATGCCAAGGATTTTGAACCTTGTTCTAGTGACTTTGTTCATAGATCTTGACTACATCATTGAGATCTATTGAGAGGAAAAATTTAAAGAAAGCTACATCCAAACTTAATCGTACTAAGAGGAGGATCCCGCGATAAGGTCGAAGGTCGAAGAAGGGGAAGGTGGTATAAAGGAAAAACAGCGGGCAGTATGAGGGTACGAGCCAACACGCAATTCGTTGCGTAAGACATGCCGTCAGCGACCTAAAATGGCCCTCCAAGCGGCGCTACCGGCACGGCACCCCATCTAATGCTAATTACTCGCCGCAGGTCTTGTTCGTTTAGCAGAGAGAAAGAGAACGTTAGCGTTGGAGAGAGCAGCTTGCCTTCTAATCATAAAGTCCGTCTTTAAATCTCTGAAACTGCCATATTGAGGTAAAGAGAAAGGTTTCTCCAGGCGTTGGGATCTTATTTAGAGTTGCACTGTATAAAAGCAATGCTTAAAATATGAATATATGTAAAATTTAACTTTCTTGTCAGAACTCAGGCATTTTAAATGTAGTCAAGTGAAAAGAAATTTTGTAGGAGTTCTGAAATGAGGGGACGAAGGACTGGATACGAAAAAGGAAAATGTGCTCATGTTGCCTTTTGTTGCAACCGTTGGTGGAAGCCCGCCGTTGTCATCTGAAGCTGTTGTCACCATACAGGTGAGCTACGGTTTTCTTAATTCTACTGCCACCGGGTGAACCATCTGTGAAATGTTTTTTATGCAATGGTTTTTTTTTTTCAACGATTATCCGCTAGTTTATTTGCGTGCTACGGCAAGCTCCGTTGTTCCTGCTGCGGTTGGTGATTGACAAAAAATTATGGTGCAAAAATTATGCACGGCGAGAAATATATAACTCCCTAGAAGTTTCGGTAGCGAGTATTAAATAAACTAAAGGGATCTGGTTTTTCTAGCAGTGCTTGACGAAAAAAAAAAAAAAAAAATGACAAACCTATCACGCCGGTATTCACGAAAGAAAGCTACAAGGCCTCGGTTGATGAGAATTCCCCGAAAGGCACGAAGGTTCTGAAGGTGGGTCGTTCTCGCATTCTATTGACAAACCTGATTTTTTGCGGAGCATTTGCTTCTTTCACCGCACCATCGTTTGTGCGGTAGTACGTTACGTCTTCTGACTACTTCAGGGTTCCTGAATTGTTTCTTCCTTTTCTTTTCCTGGGCGTTTGTTCTGCACCGTCGCATGCTCCATGCTTCTCTCTTGGTCACTGGTTCTGTCCAGAGCACCTTCTGCCGTTGCCTACACCGGTCGCGTCCCTTTTGGTGATGTACCTCCACGTCTTCTTCATGGCCACTTGCCCTGTGTTTCGAAGTCGAATGCTTTCCTTACCCGGTGCTCTTGTCGCGTTCTCAGCACGTGCCCGCACCATCGCGCCTTTAGCAGAGACTGTCTGTATTACCTATTTGACATCCTCGCTATTGTTGTGCCGCTTCCACCCACACACCCATCTCGGTATCCTTCATTTCGGCATATGTGAGCTGCTTCACATGATTTCGGTTTACGGACCAGTACTCTCTGCCGTGGAACAGACTCTATCCCGCCCACTACACCTTTTTGGGCGTCTTACAGCATCGCCGATGGCAGGGAGCAGGGGATTCCTTGATTCGCCAGCTTGGAAAATTTCGGATATTGCCTGAAAACATCAAATTTCCAATGCAATAATATTATACATGTTGTAGGTGAAAGCAGTTGATGCGGACAGTGAGCACTATGGCCGTGTGGCGTACTCGATCAAGGATGACGCGAGCCTGTTTCAAATCGACGATCAGGGCTTGATTACGGTAGCTGGACAACTTGACAGGGAAACGGTCGGTGTAGAGAGACGGCTACTTGTAACATTCACTGTATGTCTGTTCTTATTTACTTGTCTACTTCAGAGGCCCTATCATCGCTTCGAAGTGGAGGCTCGTGATGGCGGTGAACCGGCGCAGAAATCGGTGGTGACCGTGCTAATTGACGTGAACGATGTGAATGATAACTCGCCGGTGTTTGCCGATTGCAACATGACGGCTGTAGTGCAGGTAAGTACCGAAATGGGGGTGAAAGCGCCTCGCGAAAAACCAAAACACTTTCACTAGTCATTTTGCATGCAAATTACAGGAAGGAGTAATGCCTGGCCATACTCTCCTCTCATTATCGATTAGCGATGCGGATGGGCCAAATTTTGCTGGACCGTTCCGTGTGGAAGTTCGTGGCGAAGGAGCAAAAGCATTCCGTGTCGATGAGCAGTACAACCTTGGTGACAGTCACTCGTTTCGATCACGCAAAAAAGAGATCGATTCCTACTCACTGTGGGAACTTTACCTCATTTTTCTCATTATCAAATCCTCATTATTTTTCATTCTTTTCAATAATTTTCGATGTGATTTTGGTTATCCCACAATTTGATTTTTCTAGTTGATTGCTCATGATCGTGGAAATCGTTCAACGGATTGCCCACTGACAGTGTTTGTAAAGGAAGAAAGCCGACATCCTCCTCGGATAGTACCGTTGAGAGTTTCGCTGAATACGCTGATGGGAGAATTTAAAGGAGGGGTGATTGGTACAGTCCAGGCGAACGATGAGGTTGGTCTGTTTTTCTTTTCCTTTAGAAGTATATTTTGAGATCAAAAAGTTTTTCTCATGTTAGCACCCTGGTGGTTTCTTCCGAAGAGTTTTTTCTTTTCTGAGGGCTAAACCTCACCACTTCTACTTTAGGGTTAAGTGGTTTTAAAGTTCGGAACGCTACAATTTTATGGGAAATCAATTTCTGGCAATGAGCTGGAAAACTAGTCCAATTTTAATTGGCCAGATAGCCTCGAAAGATTATCACCTTTTGACCTCACATTCTCATTTTTCACGGAACATTTGAATTTGCTGACGGCCCTCTGTGCACCAAAAAAAGGACAAAATGTTTGGTTCATGTTCGATTCCCCGTGACGATTTCCCGTGATCGCAAAATTTTCCTCTGTCGTCGTTTGCAGGATGCCTAAAAATGGTACCGGCAGCTAATAATGGATGCTTCCTATTATGAAAACCTATGGTGACCACTGAGTGTTTTCTTGCCAGAAACGGGTGTTAAAGGGTGTAGAGCAAGTGTTTTCTAACCCCTTTTTGACATTCAGAGCGTCACTTAAAAAAATGAAACCAATCTTGTGTTCCATCGTACCCAATAGTTATGGAAGAACCGTCTTCAAAGCGGTTGCATTATCTTGAAAGCCCATTCCCGGTCGGTGAGGATATGAACGAAGGTAACAGCCATTCAATTGTACAAATGTAGCGTCTTCAAGACGCTGAGACATTGCTTCGATCTCGATTAGTCGATGGAAGCGTCCTCGGACCACTTCCCACGGATGCCCACCCACGAGCTCACGTTGTGAAGCCGCATTTGTTCCGAGTTGATGCGAAGACTGGCGAGGTATAAAACTGTCCTCAATTTGGTCGTAACGTTGGACATTTTCGACCGTGGAAAACACCTGAATTTAAGGTTTGGAGCGCACATGGCATCCATGGAGGTCTTCACGCCTTCAATGTCTCTGTGACTGATGGAAAATTCACCACTGTCAGCTATGTGGAAGTAGAAGTATGGTTTCAGCCTATCCGAATTTTTTTAATCTATTTATTTTTTGTTTCTTTTCAGCGAAATTTTTTCCAGTGGAGCGCTGAATTAGTGACATAACTATTGGGAATAGAGTTATAGTAGTGTTGTTTCAGGTGACGTCACTAGAACAAGACGCTGTTGATCATGCCGTCGCCGTACGCCTGAAAGGCATGACGGCGTTAGGAGTTTTTCGCGGAACACGCAGCCAAGTTCAAAGCTGTCTTCGCACAGCATCTGAATGTGGATGCGAAAAAAATATTCAGTTGCTGAGTGTGCAGGAGACGTCTCGAAGTAAGTTATCAGTAGTAGCACCAGTCGTAGAATCCTCAATGGATTTTTTTATTCTGTGGTTTCAGCAAGGCAACCTCGATCATTGTTACCGGATTCAAAGAACACAGATCTCGATATTCTGTTCACGGTATCGCGAGGTGGCGGACGTGGAATGCTGAAACCGGACCATGTTTACACGAGACTCAAGCACGATTTCCAGAGCATAGTGGATCAAAGCGGAACTATGGTAATCTGTTTGTCCCTCATTTAAACCCTACTCACACTTCTTTGTCTGAGAAAATGCATAAGCAAAGGTTAGCCTCGATTCCTGGTATGATAGCGCTTGAAACAGAATGTGGAGATGCGCAGTCGAATGACAGTGAAGAATACAACGAAAAGAACTAGTCGAACAGACCAAAAATAAAGCCCCTTCTTAAACAGCAGCAGAGGGCGGGCATAGTAGGAAAGCTTGACTGAACGAGTTTTCGAGATTGCCAGCCACCAGCCATTGCTGGCTCCGAGCCAACAGTTGAAACGGCAATCAACCAGCTGATTTTACGCCCTATGTCAGCGACGCACCACCTCTCGCGGTGGGCGGTCATAGCTAACGCCAGGCGGCGACAGCTAACAATACTTCCCGAAGGGCCTATAATCGCGCTGTTTCGATTTACGAGCATGTCATCTGGTGTCATCTTTGAGGGTGTATAATCACAAAGATGAGAGGATTGGTTGGATCGTCTAATCCCGACCTTTGCCTTTAAATTAATTATAGCAATACACAAGGCGATACCGGCGCTAGGACGCAGGGTTTAGCGCTTACCAGGAAGGTCTTTCAGGGCGTGCCAAGCTTTTTGAAAACGGTCTTTTGCATGATATAGGGGCACATGCGGGAACCACAGAACCATGGTTAATTTTTCCTGAACGGCCCTCTGAATACCAGAAAAGGGGGTCCCTAGTTCGATTCCTCGTGGTGACAAATTTTTGCATTTCGAGTTGACGTTCCAAAATTCGCGCAAAATGGAGTTAGAACCAACCAGAACAATCAGAACTCCATTTTGCGCGAATTTTGGAACGTCAACTCGAAATGCAAAAATTTGTCACCACGAGGAATCGAACTAGGGACCCCCTTTTCTGGTATTCAGAGGGCCGTTCAGGAAAAATTAACCATGGTTCTGTGGTTCCCGCATGTGCCCCTATATCATGCAAAAGACCGTTTTCAAAAAGCTTGGCACGCCCTGAAAGACCTTCCTGGTTAGAGGGGTTCAGAGCTCGCCCCACGCGGCTAGCCACGAGACCGGTTGCTAGACCAGCTTAGTGGCTGTACACACCCTCGAGCGCTCCTTTCTTATCATCGATGTGATTAGGATTACTGTATCCAGCGAGGTCAGCTACAGTATTTCCGTAGTCTTCATAAAGTCGGATGACTGATTTGCTTGCATTTTAGAAATATCAACTGACGACAGAGATGTGCACGCCGGGAGTTTGCCAACGAGGCGAGTGTCGTGAACGGGTCTACCTAGACGATCAGCAACAGACAATGATTTCTACTGGAGGGGTTGCGTTTGTGGCCCCGAATCACCATCGCGTAGCAGAATGTATCTGTCCGGAAGGGTATGTACTTACATATTTCTACTTGTTTCTATTAGAACTTTCAGGCGTTTTGTTGAGGTGCCTATTGCACTAAAACAAGCAATCGCGTTCTGCTCTGAATGGTCCCAGTCTTATTTCAGTTACGGTGGATCCCGATGTGAACAAGAAGTAAACGCATGTGCCCGTTCGCCATGTCATCCGTGGGAGATGTGTGTGCCGTCGGAAGGTTCCCGCTTTGAATGCGTTTGTCCGCCTGGTTCCTCTGGTGACAGGTGCTCCCAAGCGTCATGCGCAAATGAAGGCCGTTGTCTGGAAGGTACCGTATTATTGATCGATCGGAATAAAAGCGACGAAACTTCACAATTTGCAGAAGCAGAGCTTTCTGTTGGTGGAACAGGCTACTTTGAAATGTCGATTGCTCATGAAATGGAGACACGTATGGAACTCGAAGTGGAACTGAAGACTACCACCTTGACTGGAGTGATTTTGCATGCACATGGACCGAGTGACTTTCACATGTTGGAGGTACATTGATCCATCAACACGTTAAGACAACGCTCGTTTTCGTTATTTTTGAGCCGCGCTTACCGGGCGCGACACTGCAAGCGCGGCCACGTGATTCGTCACAGGATCACGCTGACCCAGAAAGGGCCTTTATGACGCTTCCAAACTGAAAAAAAAACGATAGGTGACTGAATGAATAGAAGCGTATAGAAAAGCACAAAAGTCGAAAAGAAGTCGCGTATTGGCTCCAGAATGAGTTGCACGGGTGTGGTCCGGTATTGGACCACGCAGTCTGAGATGACTAGCACGTTGCGTACCGCTTGAGCCATTTGTGGCGCGCACAGGCGCGAAAACCAACTTTTTTTGCCGGAAACATTTGGCTTCTTTATGTTCCAGAACTGCTTTCAATAAAATGATGATCATGTAGAATTTGAAAAGAAATCTCGCTTCAGTCGAATAATTTTTGAAGTCATCGAAAATGAAAACCGGATCGAAATTTTGTTCTAAGAATTTTCGAGTTGTTTCCTTTTACTGGTAGCAATTGTGAAGGTGGAAGGGGAGCTTCCAAGTCGCGATTGCTGTGGAAAAAATCCCTCATTAGTTAACCGCGTTGACGTAACGACTAGCATATAGCTCGACTATCACTAGGATTTCCGAATTTCGTTGAATTTCGCTTTTTCACTTCCATTCTCCAATTTTTGAAAGAGTTTATTGAAATTCTTTGAAGTGGTTCATAGATGAGTTCTGGTTATTTTGGCGTCTTTTGTTACCCAAGGTTGCTGTTTATATCTAATTTGGGATTCTCTGTGTTGTCAGTTTGTTTGTGTTTGTGCGTGCGTTGATATTTATATGGCTGATTGTATCTCTGTTCTCTTTTGATGGGTGTGATAGTCAGGAAATGATTTCCAGCTGGTTGACGGACGAGTTGTCTACCGATGGGATGCTGGTTCCGGAGAAGGGTCCGTAGCTACAGAGGCGTCGATTGCCGACGCACAATGGCACAGGATCTCCGTCAGTCGTCGTGGTCGCAGAACACGTTTGCAGCTCGACGGTGTTGATACCAAAGAGGGGTGGAGCCCAGCTGGTGAGGAACCGCGCTACTGTCTTGGCTATTCATGGCGTTCAATCTTCGGAAATTTTCGGTGGTAGCAACGAAGCAGTTTTATTTGTTTCCGCTTTAGGGAGCGACGTCATCAACCTCTACTCGTCCAGTCATCGGCTATTCTTCGGCGCTCGTGTTGAGCGTGAGAATTCGTCCTCGGTGTCAATCACAAAAGCGATTGTGGCCTGTTTTCGAGCGATTTCGATTGATCGGAGGTGAAGTTTTGCGGTGCTCGTAATCCTTCCTAGCAAGGAAACTCGTTCGCCTTTGCTTTCGTTGCTTTCATTGATTTCTGCTTATAAGTAGTAGTGTAATGTCTTTGTTTTCAGAAGTGTTGCGAAGACTCGCCAAGGCTTACGATTATACTCGGCTAGCACAGGTTGTCGAGCGATGGCAGCCACACCATGCTCCGAAGCGCCATGTCGTAACGGAGGAATCTGTCAAGTGATCGACAGGACTTATCAGTGAGTACTCTCTCGCTTCTCTTGCCGAGTGTTTCTTTGACTGCACACTAATTATTAGCGCAGTCTTCGTAAGTCATCCAGTTTTGAAGTGGGGATATTCATTTTTGCATCGCTTCAAGTGGTTTTTATGACTAAGTTGGCTTTACTGCGATAATTTATAAATCTATATAATTTAGCGTTCGCAACCTGTAACTTATATGTAGGACGGCTTTTCTGACCTTCCACGTTCTTATTTCTTATTTTAAGTCGAAAAATAAAATCCCGAGTCCCAACTAAAATTTTGTTGGAAAATTCATAATTTACTATTGAGGTCAATTATAAGGTCCCTTCAACATAAGCTTCTTTCAATTTTACATTAGAATTGATCGAAGAGATTCTATTCATCGTTTTATTCTGGCTGGCAGGTTTTTTCTAACTTAATTTATTGTTGGCGCTATCGTAATGAACGGGGGCATCCTCTAGGACTAAGTTTTCACTTTCACTGGAGGCAGGAGCTCCAGTGAAAGTGAAAACGACTCACGCACCTTGGAGTCTCTTCTCCTCCGCCTAAAGCTTAATCGCTGTTTCAAGAAAAAATGGCATGATTCACCGCAGCGGTTTCAAATGCACTGCCATCACAATGTTCTCGAATATTGCGATAGCGTCTTATTGTTTGTATACTTTTTTTTTAATTTAAGGGAGTGAGATTTGGTTATGGATTCACAAGCTTGTCTTCTTTCTTTGATTGGTTTCTGTTTTCGGACAATCAAAGCGTTTTTTTTCAGATGCACTTGTCCAGCCCGCTACACTGGTGCCAATTGTGAAATAGATACAGATCCGTGTGGTTCTCGTCCGTGTCCGCTTGGCATACAATGTATTCCGTTCTACAATGAATACTTGTGCAAATGCCCGAATGGTTTCACTGGAAAGCGTTGTGAGATCAGAGGATATGGTAAGTAAATATAAAAATGAATAGGATGTTGCATCAATCGTCTGTTGAGGCTCATCAAAGAAAAGTTTGGGGCTTTATGTTGCACAGGTCCTCAGATGGGTTTCATCGCGTTCTTTGAGTATATGATTTAGATGAGACCCGAAGGACGTGATCGAATCTACCCGGGAGCCTGCGCATAAAAAGAAGTCCTAAAATATCAAAAGGCAATGATTGAAGCTTGTGCGCCGGGTCCCACAGGAAGCGCCCATCGTGGGATGTAGGGGCCATAACTTTAGGGCATTCAATTCCAACTTTGATGCGAAATGCGGGGCATACCCGCCTGTAATCGTCGACGGATGAGCCCGTCTGTGTCTTCTACTTCTCCGCTGCGCGCACGGACTCCATGTCGGGTACCCCAGCTGAGCCCATGAAATGGAGCTCCCTACAGACGGGCGCTTTTCCTCATCGCTGCCTGGTTATTTCCATCAATAGATGGGGTAGCATAGTTTCTCGATCCCTTCTTGGTCAGGTTTCATTGCCTGCAGAGAATGTATGCTTTGTTTGTTGTTTATTATATGCTAACTTTCCCAACCTTAAAGGACGAATTCACGCTGGGAAGGCAACCCATTTCAAATTAACTCAGGGATGGTGATTGGTACACGAAAGAAGGAAGAACCATGAGAAACGGCCCAGAACCCGAGAAATGGGACCCCTTCCTTCCCCGCTGATTTGCGCATTGATGCGACTCTTATCGCTGTGCCCTCCTCAACACGCTCTCTCAGCCTATCTAATCACTCGCCACGTATTGAACTACGGCGAGTGATCAGATGATCGGTGGGCGGAGATCGCCGAACTCCGCCAGCTTTGAGGCATGATAGGTCGCCGAGGTCAAATTTTTCGATGCGAATTGCGCATCAGTTCGCACCCTCAGGAGGTCCGTGGGTTACTCAACTAGGTGAATTACTTCTTCCTCGACCTCCATTCTAATCGTAAAATCCTCCTTTAAGGAAAGACGGTTTATGCGTCATTTTTTCGATCAAAAGAAACATTTTTCAGATGTTGGGACGAATGCTGGGATATGCCACGGAACCTTGTCGGTGCTACATGGGAAACATGATTCCAATTCCAAAACGAAGCATAGTCATAACCATTGGTATATCTGCAACTGTTCACTCAGGGATTTTCTGGAAACAAGGAACTTGTGACGGTATGTTCTATTCGGTTCTCCCAGTGTGCAGGTTTCTTCCTGGTGTCCAAACGTGCGCATTTCTAACAGTTTCAGACGTAGGCACCGTCATTGTTTGGCTCGGATCTCAATGATAGGAGCTGATTATTGCGTTAGCGATTCTCGTTCTTATCATAGCTGTCATCTTTGCCATCACACTTGTCTGTCGATGTCTGAAAGTGAAGAGGTTAGCCTTAACAGCTGGTCGTAGATTTTTTGATATTGATTGTGAAGCCTACTATTGGTTGTTAGCGCGATTGATTGGTGAGGACGCGAAAGTATGGAGGAGAAGTGTTGCATGCCTGTGGCCATGTGACGCAAGCTCGATGTCGGTACCAGCCACCAGTGGCGGTCCAGCACCAACTCTTTGCACCAAAGAGCGTTCGCGTGGGTCGGGATTCAGAGATGATATTCGAATCTTAGAACAGGCCCAACTGACAGTGTCTAACCAACGAGTTCAGGTGAGCATCTATGTTTGACAGTTGATAATTTTGCATCACGATGGAAGGGCAAGTGAGAGCGCGCGGCAGCGGTTCGTTGAATTTGTGAATATCCCTTATGTGGTCAAACATTCGCTACGCTACCGCACGCGTCTCTTGCTGTTTTACTCTTCGACGTTGTTCGCGTTGCTATGGTAAAAACGCAAGAATAACGTTCTTTTTTACTAACAAATCGAGTTTTTCAAGGTACGGCCACTACCGCAGCGCGAACGCCTTTCATCCAGCGGTCGCGGCGACTCACGATCGCCATCGCTTGTCGGCACAGGAAAGCAGTGGAAACGTGCTACGGATTACGGTAGTGCAGCAGATGACTTAGATGAGGTAAGGATCAGAACATTCGTATAACTTCGTATAATGTATCTTTGGATCGACTTAAGAATTTGTTCGAATGGGAGTGATTTTTTTTCCTAGGCAGTCGCTAGCGGCACTTTTTGGTTCAGGAATAAGAGAAACATTTATAGATTTAGGCTTGTGTTGTTTGATTAGATAAAACATGGTATAGCTGATAATTCTCTAGTCTGGACGAGTCTCCTCGCATGATTCTGGTGCTATGGAAGCGTTGCGTCGTTTTGGTTTCCGCGTTACCGAAGAAGATGAGCCAGGACGTTCGTCAAGTGGCAAAAATCGAGCTCGAGTCAATGACCGCCATCCGGTAGTAGCTACGAGAGATGCCCTTTCGGCACTAAACCAAGAAAGGTAGGCTTGGTGTGGCTTGCTGTCCAATCGCTGTTCTTGTGGGGTTGAAACACTCTGTCGTCAGGGTTCGCTAGCTGAATCATCCAAATGGCCTCCCGACATCTGAAGGTGATGATGACGGTGGTGAAAAGTGGGGTGATGGAGTTGATCGGATAGGAGCGGCTATACAAATGGAACGAATGAGGTATGAGCAGCATTGATTGTCGTACGAGGGACTAGGGTCGCTTAGGCTTGTACAGAGCGCCATAAATGATTGGTCGCGTATTGTTGCTCTCAAGCTGCAACAATGAAGTATTACTGTCGCCCTTACAGGATCGAATCTCTAACTGGTCGGGTGAAAGTTGGAGAAACGGTGCTGAGCCCGGTGATCAACGATGACGACTACATGACGATGCGACCGCGTCGAAATTTGGCGACATCGGGCGAGTCTCAGCGACGACCGCTTCTTGACCAAGAAGACGATAGCGATGGTGAGCTCTAGAAAAGATGTTGAGATTAAAGCATCAACGCATCATTGTTGTGTGGAATACCCCCGTCAAGGCTGGAGGACCAGAACGATATACGTAGGTCGAATTGACTAGTTTTAATTTAGTCAACTAGATCCCAGCAGATGGCGAAAAGAATGAACGGAGCTACACAGCAATGTGTCGCTGGAGGCACGTAACTTACGGCTCACGCGCCGCTAACGACAGTTACGGGATTACCATCTGGGAAGCTAGGTTCACAGGAAACGTGGGAAAATGAAACTGTACGAAACCTGTGGATTCTAGTTCATCCCCAAACTGAAGCTATACTACATATTTATAATGGAAAGAAGATGTTTTACGGTGTTTTCAATACATTGTCATTACAATGCCTTCGTATCTTGCGATAGCCCCTTGCTCCTTGGCCAGAATAGTCTCCAGGGATAAAAGACCAATTTATTGACTTGTGGAGAATTGGTTTTTTGACCGGGAGGAGTGGTATTTCAGTTCATAATAAGTTTTGACGTTCAACGTTCTATTCAGCTGCTACACGCTCGCTTGAATCAGGTTCAGGCACTTATAATCCACTTGCAGGTACAGACGATGCAGTTTTGAGCAGTCAAGCGCCGCCACCACCAAGCCACAAAAATGTGTTCAATTCTCGGATTTACGACGATCCGCCGACTCGCGGCGGAGGAGGAGGTGATACCGACTCGCTAGCCACATCGGCGGCGATCTGCGATATCGATGCCAGCGATGTCGAGGAGCTGTCTACCGATGCTATATTATAGGACTTTACACATGATTAACGTACCCCTGTCAAGGCCATTCATTGTCCCTTTCGTACTTGCACCACCCTGTGATTTTTGCGGGCATTTGTTCTCTTTGAAATTTATACATTTATAGTCGTGATTTATTCATACTGTATGTTGTTACATAAGCGTGTGTGTGGTGTTTTATGTGCTTTCCTAATGCTCGCCAAGTATTGTTAGCAGCAGTTCTGCTCAGGTCTCGTTAGCGCTCGTGAATCATTGCGGTGTCTCCTGGGGGTTACCGGTTATTCACGCATGCGTTCCCTCGCCCATTTTCACTTTTGCCTGCCGTTTAGGAGAAACGTAATTTCTCCTTTTTGTATAGGTGCTCGATTATATTCTTGTATGTAGTTTATAACGTCTATTTAATAGATAGATTCTCGTGCGTTTTAGGCATAATTACTGAGAGATATTACTGATACGTGACAAGGCATCAATACTGTACGTCATAGCGTTGTACGAGATTACAGGTATGTATTATAGGATGACCTCAGCACAATCCAACCATCACTTGTAATGTTGTTGATACAGTACCTCGTCCAGAGGCTATTTGTCGACTAATAAATGGATTTGCTTATCGATTTTATACAGTCTACTTATCAGTGTCATGGTTACGGTAAGCTGCTTCTGAAACTGCACATACACTGCGTTTCATAATTATAGGTCCACCCTAAATTTTTGCTACCCCAAAGTTGCTGTGCATTTTTTGGAAATGCTGCTATCACCATTAGATTCCTCATCACGGAAAACCTTCATAGTGTTTTTCTGACAAAGTTCCCCCTCAAGTAACCCAATTAACTTTTTCAGAACGAATTTTCACCGTTTCATGAATATCGGGCCACTCATAAAAAGTTTCCATTTCTCACGATCCGTGAAGGGAATCAGGGAAGCGGGGATATATGTGAGCTCAGTCGACATCGAGTTTACCATACCTCGTGTTATTCGCCTCTCTTCCCAGTAACAAGCTCAAGCCAGAGCACTTACTGAAGTGGGATAGCTGAGGAGCAGAATTTCCTCCCATGTCGGCCGGCTCATACTGCATAAGCAACTATGTGCAAAATCCTGGTCAGTGCGGAGAGAAGAGTCGTAAATAAGACTGCGTTTCCTTCAAAATTTAGGAGGAATTGGGCGTCTTCTCTCGAATTATACAAGGAGTCCGAACAAAGTCCGTGCTGAAATGCGGCCTTCCGTGAGCAAAACCACCGTGTGGTGAGTAAGCCAGCAGAGCAATAACATCTTCAGCGGATTGATGAAGAGCGTTCCAAGATTATTTGAGCGCTACAAGATCGCACGTCTCCATTTCTCCGTGGAAAAGGGCTCAACTTAATGAACGAAGGTGTGGCTGTTAAGACCCTTCGCGATCTTGGACTCTACCTCCTTGTTTCGTTCTACAGGTGGTCTGAGATCGACGTGGAAAAGTTTATTCTAGGTGGATATGGCAGAAAAAGAGGGTACAGGATGATCGCGTGAAAATCGCAGATGGTTTCAATGTAACGTAATTTCGGCGGTGAATCCCTTATGGTTTGAGGCACCTTTGAACGACTGAGCGGCTAGAGCTCGCTTTTGTTTCCTTTCACAAAGATTCCATAGGGTATCGTGAAGTTCTTTTGAAGCGAGTTTTACCATTTTTTCGACAACATCCCCTCGATCCTTGATTTTTACACACGATAACGCGGCTGTCCATGCCGGTCCTTCCACGCCAGATGGAAGTTGCAGGAAAAAATGTGGCAGTTATCTGGTGGCCACCATGTTA